TCTACACGATCCCTCCTGTACAGGGTATAGCCATCTATACCCGTGGTCCAGTCATGGGTGGAGTCCCACCAGGTCTCCGTTATCCCTATGTCATCGTAATTATTTGCACTGAGCAGGAGGATGAGTTCCTCCTGCTTATTCCCCAAGCTCCTGGCATTTGTGTACAGGCAAGCAAGTGCCCCCTGGGGGGCTCCTTCCTTGACCACAGATTTTACCAGGGCTGAGGCAGGGGTGGGCTCCCTTAAGTGCCTTGAACTGCTGGCTTTGCAAGGATTGCAAAGTGGGCCAGCAGTGGCGGTAGTGCCCCCGTCCCCCAGCGGGCTTAGTTTAAAGCCCGGTTGAGCAGGTTAGCCAATCTGGCTGAGAAGAGCCTCCTCCCTAGGGGAGAGAGGTGGAGGCCATCTCTTCCCAGCAGCTCACTGCATCTCTCACCAAAGAGCGGGCTGTGGTCATGGAAGCCAAAGCCTTCCCGACAACACCAGCGCTGCAGTCTTTGGTTGACCACGTGGATCCTCCTCTCCCTCCTTGGCCCATAGCCTGAGACTGGGAGGATCGACGAGAACACCACCTGTGCCCCCAGACCCTTTAGCCCTGCTCCCAAATCCCTGTAGCGCCTCATGACCCGGCTGGGAGCGCTCCGAGCCGTGTCATTGGTGCAATCCAGGGGTAAGTCATCTATGTTCTCTACTGGTTTGGGTTTGTGCCTTCACCTTAGTGGGATCTGTAGACCTTTTGCCACAGTCTGATCTATGAAATTGCCTGCAGTTCCAGAGTTGCAGCAGGACAGTCTGGATGAGGAGTGAGCAGTTCTGCACCAGGACTTGGAGATGAGCAGATTACAATAGTTGGGGGTTCCATGGGCTGGGTTTATTGCACACTTCATGAGCTGTGGATGCTTTGGGGATTCTGAGTGACCCTGAATTGGTCCTTTTCCCCACGCCCAAGATCACTCATTTACCTTGACCTCCTCTCTGGGGACACATGGCATACTCGTAACCCAGAGCCCCACCATAGTAGCACGGCTCCTGTCGCGGATAGTGTTCCTGTTCTTCTGGTATAGGTGCCAGAGCCCTTCATCCACTGGCACCAGATTGGGGATAACATTAGCAGAGTGAGGCTCTCTGCATTCCCTAAGGTAGACGTCAATCTGGGCAGCCAGATCCATGAATGTGTTGAATTCTGAGAAGGGTAAAATACAGACCACAGTATACAAGAAACCCACAGACCAACATACATATCTGCACAGAACCAGCAATCACCCTAAACACACCAAAAAAGCTGTGATATACAGCCAAGCCCTCAGACACCACCGCATTTGTACTGAAGAGAACACCCGGGATTGCCACCTCACCAATCTTAAAAAAGGCTTTCACCCAACAAGGACACTCCTCCAGAGAGGTAGATCACACATTTGAAAGAGCCACCTGGATACCACATGAAGAACCGCTGCAGTACAGAAGAAAACCCCCCACAAATCGCACACCGCTGGTTATGACGTATCACCCCTCCCTTGAACCCGTACGGAAAATCCTCAAAAAATTGCAACCCATACTAGACAGAGACCCTATTCTTAAAAAGATCTTCCCAGAGCCACCCATCCTAGACTTTAAACAAGCACTGAACCTCGCCAACCTCATCACCAGAAGCAAACTTCCTCAACCCCAGAACACACCAAAAGGATCCAGACCGTGCCAGGACAAGAAATGCAAAACCTGCCCCCACATCTCCACTACCCCCACTATTACTACACCCCACAACAGAGCCATCAGCATCCCAGGATCTTACAGCTGCACCTCTAGAAATGTAGTGTACCTCATCCAATGCACCAAATGCCCTGATGGAAAATATGTAGGAGAGACCAAACAACAACTGCGCACCAGAATGAACGCACACTGGAAATCTATCAAAGACAGAAATACCCAATTACCGGTGGGGGCACATTTCTCACAGGAGGGCCACTTTCTCTCCAATCTCTCAGTCCTGGTCCTCAAAGGAAACTTACACAACACTTCGCAGAGACGAGCCTATGAGCTCCATTTCATCAACCTGCTGGATACTAGAGATCATGGACTAAGCATAGACATTCGATTTTTTGATACATTATAATCTGCCTGGCAACTGACTCCCCCACCCAGCCCAGCCCCTGGCTTCTTTACTTTTCATTCCATCCAGGAAGAGCACTCACCAACTGCTGAAACTTCCTTAGCCTGGCGAAGGGTTTTTGAACCCGAAAGCTTGCTTAATAACTATTCTCCAACTATTTGGGTTGGTCTAATAAAAGATATCAAATTCACCCAAGGAACCTTGTCTGCCTTGAATTCTGAGAGTGGTTCCACCTGAGCTAGTTTGTCCTAAATTTACTTCCACAGACCCTAGTAGAAATAATAGCATTGGGCTGCCTCATTCCACTGGGTTTGTGCTGCATAGCAGTGAAAGAGGGAAGCATAAATTGAAATGGACCACACCCTTGGTGGAGCTTGATAGTCCAGCAAATCATTTCAAGATAGTCAACTTGGACTTTTAGAAGCCAGGATTTAATAACCTTGACTATCACACACATTTTGTACACCCTTCCTAGAATGCTTATGCTATGATATTCCTCTCAAAGTAGATTTCTCTGTTTAAGGATCACTGCTGTTAAAATACATTTTCAGGAGGAAAGAAGATACTTCACTAGAAAACCTGAATGAGATGTTGGAGAATATTGGAGTATTACCTAACATAACTGAAAGGATGCAGCAAGGATTGGGGAACTAAATAGAGTTTGACAGCATCCTCACACCACCCATACACTTTACACATCAATAAGTTTTTGGTCTCTGCCTGTGTATAGCATTTATTTATTTGGATTTTTACAAACTATAGTAAAAGAACGTTCATATGTTGCTCTAGGTGCCCTTGACAAACTTTTAAAAAGGTATACTGCATAAACAAACAGACCACTCAGTTCCCCTGGATAAAACAAAATAATTCAATGACAATTTAGTAGAAATCAATCAGCACCCCTGCCCTCCAAGCATGTATTCTTCAGTGCATCAGAATGGTCTAAATTCAGGGAATAGTGTGGGAGCCTTTTCTCAGTACAGCTTGCATCTGTTTATGTTCTATTCTGCTGCCCTAAAACCTAAAACCTGCTGCAATCCATTAAATTCCCCTCCTGACAGTGGCACTGCCTACTTGGAAGCTCTGGTCAATAAGAACACTCTGGATCACTGTGCAGTAGCCAGAAAAAAAAAATCAATTCAGTCCCAGAAGACAGAAGTGTTTTTGCCAAAGGTCACTAAACACTACCGTGGCTGCTGCTATTTGGAAATGGAGTTTTGAGAGGTGATACAGGTAAACAAACATGGATGATGAAGAATGGTATTATTTGCTGTACTAGCTTAGCACACTGTGTATATGCTGTTAACAATATGGATTTTTTATTCTTGGTTTCATTTCTTATTTTTATTTAATAGAAATTGGCTTGTAATCTCAACACAGGAGACCAACAGACCTCGCTAGACTGTTTGCAGCTAGGCAGGTATGGATCAAATTAAAGATACTAATATCACTTTTTAGCCATTCGTTTGCATCCTGCAGAAATCTGTCTTCCTTGCTCAAACTCTTAAAACTAAATTATGTGCCTGATGTACAGGGAGAATTAGTGATCTCTGCAGTGCAGCGCAGTCCACTACAACTTGCAGTGGAAGGAATAGTTCCTTCACAGTCTCTCCTCCATTGCTTATATGCTCTTTGGTACATCTGCAGAAGCATGAGGCCTTCAGCATATAGCAACTCTGTGGCTTTGTGCCAAAGAAAACAGCTCTGAGGATTGGATGGGATTAGGGAGCCCCATTCCAGGAATGCAGATCCTCTGAAAGCTGGAGAGTTGAGGGGTTCTCTATACCCCAGCGCAGTGGGGTTTGTGGGGGAGAGGGAGGATAAGGCTGGTGGACCTGCAATTAAATAGTACTGTTAGTAACATTCTGGACACTTTGTTCTAGTAGAGCTGTGTCAGACTTTGCATGACACCTGACCTAGTGTCCACTAAAGTGACTGGGATTCCCTCCATTCCTGTCAATGAATGCCAAACCAGCTGTAGAGATTCTAGTCTTTCCCAGATTCCAGCACCCCTTATATTTTTAATTAAGGCGATGTCCCATCCCACCAACAAGCCACTTGGCTGACTCAAGTTCCTTGCTTCATCTCAATGATCAGGGAGCCCAGAGAGTAAGAATCTTGTATCCTCTTCAATGGGGTTACTCTGAGATAGTGAGTAATAGAAAGCATTAATAGAAATCACTTATATTTAAGCTAATTTATTTTGTTCAACCACTTTTCCTTTCCCTTCTTCAGTTTGTAGATTTTAATTCTCCAGGACTACCCAAAAAGTAGCCTTTGCATTATACGTAGCCCACAGAGTTTCACATTGTAGTCCTTGAATGCTGAGCTACAGTTCATTAAGATTACCGGTCTCAGCAGGTAATAACTGGAGAGAGATCACACAGAAAGGGAGAGGGCATAGGCTTTGTGATTCCAATCTATGATACCCGTGGGTTCCTATTTTGTATGTAAGATGACAGGAGATGTAGTCTGCTTCAATGCAATGCATGCATATTTTACAGGTAGTAGTCAGGGGCCATACAAATGGTCAATTTGGCTGTCAAGTTTGGGTGACCTAGCCATGCATAATGCTCTTTCTATGTCACATGATGGCTTCTTATAACCAATCTATTTATTGAGCAATCTTCTTCATTCTTTATTCCAGAAACAATGGAAAGATGGGTTATATCATTCTTCCTTAAAAAACAGAAGCATTCCAGAGAACCAGAGGAGGAGTTCATATTACTTGTGCCACTTTTGTAAAATAACCATAAAATCCTTGTGAAGGTGTTTTGATTGAATATTCCTGGTTAGCTGGACAAAAATGATCCTTTCTAAATGATTCATCAAACTGAATTTGAACTCTCATCTTATTCTCCTCCCCCCTCTGACCCTTTGGAAAATACAACTTCAGTTTCTGTGAAATTAAAAGCCTTTTTAATTGGCAGGAGTGATTTCTTTGCCTTTGTAGGATACTGGAAGAAATACAGTTGCCAACTGTTACACTGAAGTGGTAAATTATCTGCACATTTTGAAACATTTTGAAGACAATTAAATGTCAAATTGTCAGAACAAAAAGAGTTGAACTAGCTACATGTCATCCAGAAGACCTGGGATGATGAACAGTGGCTGGAGGCATTCCAGATGATCCAGGCCAGGACCTTCTGGGGCAGCTCAGGCCACATCTGGAGCAGCAGGACACCGGCTAGCCATCACCCTGCTCAAGCTAGCTACACCCAGCAGTCTCCACTATGTGGGCCAACTCTTAGGGGTATGCAAGGCCATCCTGCTAGGGCGGCCATCCTGGAGGTGTGCAGCACTCTCCAGGACATGCTAAGGCACACGGTGCTTTGCATGAACAACCCCCTGGAAGTGGCAGCAGAGTTCCATGCCCTGGGATTCCCCCAGTGCATTGGAGCCCTGGATGGGACTCACATCCCTGATATGGATCTACAGGTTGAGGGGAAGCTTGGTGACAGCAACCATGAATTGGTCACCTTCTTAGTTCACCGAAGAGCAGGCAAACCCCTCAGTAAAACAGAAGTCCTTAACTTTGGGAAAGCTGACTTCTGCAAAACTGAGAGAATAGGTCAGCCAGACAATTAGAGGCCATACCCCCTGCCCCCCCCCCCTGAAAAGGGAGTACACAAGGAATGCTCATCTCTCAAAAACATAATCCTCGAAGCACAGGGCAAAGCCATACCGTATCGCAAGAAATGCAGTCAATGAGGAAGGAAGCCCCCATGGTTGAATAAGGAACTCTTGGTCCTCATTAAGCTCAAAAGAGTAGCCTACAACAACTGGAAAACAGGAAGCATTACTAAAGAGGATTACTCTGCACTCACTTGCACCTGTAGATAGAGGTTGAGAAAAGCCAAGGCAATAACCGAACTCAGGCTAGCTACACGAATCAAGGACAACAAAAAGGTCCTTCTTCAGATATGTGCAAAGTCAGAAAAAAACAAAGATAGCACTGGGCTCCTGAGAGATTCAACGGGGCAACTGACATTTAGACTTCAGGAAGGCCTTCGTTAGACTTCAGGAAGGCCTTCGATACGGTATCCCACCCCATACTGGTGAACAAGTTAAGAGGCTGTGAGTTGGATGACTACACAGTCTGGTGGGTGGTGAATTGGCTAGAGGGTTGCACCCAGAGAGTCGTAGTGGATGGGTCAGTATTGACCTGGAAGGGTGTGGGCAGTGGGGTCCTGCAGGGCTCAGTCCTTGGACCGATAATCTTCAATGTCTTCATCAGCGACTTGGACGAGGGAGTGAAGTATACTCTGTCCAAGTTTGCAGATGACACAAAACTGGAGAAGTGGACACGCCAGAGGGCAGGGAACAGCTGCAAGCAGACCTGGACAGGTTGGACATATGGGCAGAAAACAACAGAATGCAATTTAACAAGGAGAAATGCAAAGTGCTGCACCTAGGGAGGAAAAATGTCCAGCATACCTACTGCCTAGGAAATGACCTGCTTGGTGGCACAGAAGTGGAAAGGGATCTTGGAGTCCTAGTGGACTCCAAGATGAACATGAGTCAGCAGTGTGACGAAGCCATCAGAAAAGCCAATGGCACTTTATCGTGCATCAGCAGATGCATGACGAA